AAGGCATAAGTGTATGAAGGCAAATGAAGATTGGCTAAATGAACAATGAAATACATTTGAACACAGTCCTATTAAAGATGCAAAAAGTGTGCACAAATAAATTAGCGACTCAACTGAAGAAAGATTAGCAGCAGAGATCTTGATGAAGATGGTATAATAATTAGATGGAATGATTACATGATGAGAGTTGTATGATATAAAAAGGGCAGAAAGCAGAAAGAAATTTAGAAGGTCTGACTACTAAAGGAATAAATCAGCGATGATATTGCACATATGAAGAAAGGAAAGTCAGACGGGCCAGATGGAATTTCGGTTGAAGAATTAAAAGTTCTGGGGGAGGGGGGGGGACTGGGGAAGAAATATTAATTGAACTGATTAATGACATTTATAACACTAGGTACATACTAAGTGATATGATGGAATCTGTATTTATTGTGTTACCCAAAAGACCAGGAGTAACTAAGGATTGTTTGAAAGAAGCAAATGAAAGTAGATTACTATACCAAACAACAATAAGGAGACAAACACTGTTCTTCTGCCACAAAATTAAAAGACAGGCATTGAAAAACATCGTGACAACTGGAAAGAGGGGTAGAGGCAGACCAAGAGAGAAGATGTTAGAAGCGCTGAAATGATGGCATGGAGGGATATCATCAAGATAGTTGTTCTAGATAACCACGAATCATGATCTGTGGAGATGCATGAGCGCCTACGCCAATTGACAGGGCACACGATGATGTTGACATACTTTACTTACTTAGTCGCTCCTCTTCTACCTTGGGGTATAAAGGTTTGCCAGAGCGCCAGACGTCTCTATCAGCAGTTTTCTTTCTGGCTTTGTTCCATTCCAGTCCTCTGTCAGCTAGGGACTGTCGGATGTTGTCTTCCCAGCGCACCCTGGGTCGTCCTGGAGGTCTGGTTCCCTGGTTCTTAGCCTCCCATGGTGGCCGATTTTCTCCCATTCTGCATACATGTCCAAACCATCGTAACTGTGACTGATCCACTCAGGTTTGTAAGGACTGGGTATCAAGATCTTGACGTATTGTCTGATTGCGGACTTTGTCCCTTGGACCACCTTTCTCAGATATCTCATTTCCGAGGACTGCAACTGGCTTCTGTGAGCTGTTGTCATTGCCCATGACTCACACCCATAGGTCAGGACTGGTACATAGGTAGAGCGGTAAACAGCCATTTTCGTCCTCTTGCCAATTTCTCTTTTGCTAAGAAACCCTCGGTTTATGGCCTGGAAGAGTCTCCCAGCAGCTGCTTTTCGTGTAGCCAGCTCAGTCTTAATGCCTCCATTTCGGTCTAATACAACTCCAAGGTATTTGAACTGGTTAACCTGCTCCAATGCATACTGTCCCATCATGATCTGGTGTTTCTTCTCCTCTCTTGAGATCACCATGGTTTGTTTTGAAGATACTGATGGTCATCCCTCTCTTTTCAAGCTCTTCTTTCCAGACAAGTAAGTTGGACTGAAGGTGTGCCTCTGATTTAGCTATCAAGGCCACATCGTCTGCAAATGCCAGCTCTGATATACAGATTGGTCTCATCTTCCAGTACCCTACAAAGTACTTCTTTGTCTTCTCCTTACAGGTCTTGATGACATCATCCATCATAAGAATGAAGAAGTAGGGTGAGAGAATATCACCTTGTCTAACACCACTGGTGGTCTTAAATTCTTCTGACTTTTGGTCTGCTGCTCTTACATAATTTCTGCAGCTTTTGTAGAAACTCTGTATTGCACTGATCAGGGTTGCTGGAATGTTTTTCCCCGCCAAGCAGCCCGAGCTTGTTCCAGGGTACTTTGTCAAATACCTTTTCCAGATCCAAAAAACATAAGTGCATCTCACTCTTATATTCAAGGGTTTTTTCCACTCATCTGTCTCAGTGTGAAGATAAGGTCTTGAGTACTTCGGTTTGCTCTGAAGCCACATTGGGCCTCATCCATCTGTGGCTCTACCAGACTTCTAAGTCTCTGCTCGAGAATTCTAGAGTAACTTTTACCAGGAACGCTGAGGAGGGATATGCCCCTGTGGTTATCACATTGTCTGTTATCACCTTTTTTAAATTTAGGTATAATGATGGCAATCTCCCAATCTTTTGGTATAGTTTTACTACACCAGGCTGCCTGCAGAACCTTCAGTAGAGGGCGCTCACCTGCGACACCCATATATTTGACCATCTCTGGTGTTATACCATCATGACCTGCTTTTCCCAGCTTAATCTTCTCAATAGCTGCCTTCAACTCTACCATCCTGATGTTATCATCCTCATGGATGATTTCCTTCTCAGCAGTGAGGTCCATTATTTCTGGGTCATGACTTCCTTCAACGCCAAGGAGCTCTGAGAAGTATTCTTTCCATCTGCCCATGATATTATCTGTAGAAGTAAGCAGAGCCCCTTCCTTGTCTTTTATGAATTTCTTGAACAGTTTTTGATTTTCTCTTGCATTCTTTTCCAACTTTTCTCCAAACTCTTCCCATGATTTCTGTTTTGCTTTAAGCACAATATTTTTGGTCTCTGTTCTGAGTGCCACATATTGTTTATATTTCTCTATTTCTTCAGTGTTCCTGGCTGCCAGGTATTGCTTCCATGCCCTTTTCTCCTATTTTCAGTTTGACTCCTTCTGTCCACCAAGGTGTCCTATGTCCCCGCCTTCCACTTGGGACGTCACCACATGCTTCTACTGCAGCTGCTGTGAGGATATTCTTAAATCTGCACCAGAGGGTTTCAGTGTCCTCTGATGGTTCTTCTTCAGTTCCTATTGCTTTCACTATAAGCTCCTGGTATCTAGCTCTTTTAGCCTGTATGCCTTAATCCTCATCCCTTCTTGGTTGCTTGGTTTCTTGCATGGTTGTCGGTGTTGCCTTGTTGGAGCAGTTCTTTCAGTTGTTCTCTTTATTGTGACCAGATAGTGGTCACTTCCAATCTCTGGTCCTCTCATGACTCTGGCTTCTCTAACAAACTTGACTGAACTTTTCCTAACTATGGCATAGTCAATGATGGATTTTTCATTCTTTGAAGGTTCACATCTTGTGTATGCATGTATACGCTTGTAGGGGAATTCTGTGTTTGTAATGATAAGGTTCTGTTTCCTGCAGAATCTGAGAAGTCGCTTGCCATTATCATTCAAAACATCTTCACCATATCTTCCGATCACTCCACCCCATCTAGAGTGATCATTTCCTATTCTGGTATTCAGATCTCCTAGGAGGATAATTTCCTCGTGACAGTCATCTATGGTCCTTTGAAGCAGTTTAAAGAATTCTTCTTTAACATCAACTCGCTCATCTTCATTTGGCCCGTACACAATAACAACATTGATAATTTTATCTTCTTCTTTTAGATCTAACACCATAATTCGCTCCGAGATGAATTTCCATCCCTTGATGTTACTAAGTTGGTTCGTGGTCACAATACAGCCAACACCTCCCTTAGCTCTCTCGGTCATAGGGACACCACTGTAGAGCAGCATACTTCTATCATGATCTGTGATTCCTTGCCCCTTTTTCTTGGTTTCAGTCAGAGCCAAGACTCCTAATTTCGCTTTCCTCATCTCCTCTACTAACTCCTTTTCCTTCCCGTTATTGCCTCTTATATTCCATAAATTGTAGTCCGTAAGCCATGCCAGTTCGTCGCCGTTAAGATCCGTCCAGTTTTCTCTCTGTAGTTACTTGTAATCATATTTTAAGGCAAACAGGTGATTGGCCTGTTGTGCCTTTGCATGGTGGAGGGGCTGCCTCCTTGCAGCCCGTCTGGCTGATTCACGGTTACCCACTACTTCCGGAGACGCATGAAGCACTCAGGTTCAGCCAGACCCTCCTCCTTTTACAGCCGGGCTTGAGACCGGTCTTAGCGGATGATGTTGACATCTTGACTCCAATTCCATTAGTAGGATGGAAGAGAAATATCATTCGTGAAGTCTTGTTCCGTAAATGGTTTGAAGGTGTCCACTGAGTTAGTGTTTGCTGTCTTCATAATCTAGTCTATTCCCAGTAAAAATGAGAGGCAACAAAAGTCTTCCATGTTGAATATCTATTCTCAATTCACTTGCATCAGTTAGCTTCACTATAACCGCATTTGCACTACCACTTCTGACTGACAGTCCTAAGACCAACTGCTGAGTAGTGTTTTGCCTATCAATAAGAATAATGCTCTCAGCACATTTCAACATTGGTGGCTGTAGCAAGACAACTACAGTGTGACCGATCAAGCAGCTCCTAATGGACCATTTCCATGTGATTCTCTGAACCCAGTGACTAACTCCTGTTGACTGCCAAAAGCTTCCATACACATCCCACAGACATTTGTGAATGTTCTCTGCAATGAGAAATTCTACCACAATTGACTGTTTACAATGAAAGCACTCCATTTTAATGGTCCAGGTTAGCTGTATTATTTGGCCAGTTGAACTGCAATTTCATACATACAATGAGCAGACGCCACATTTGAACTGCACACAATTTTATTCTTCTAACTTTATTAGTTGAGGAAAATGATGTGCATTACTTTCTGATTGCCACTCACAATTACTGCAGGATATCATACAAACAAATGAAGCACTCCACAGCCGTTTGATTTTTATATGGTTTATTTATATAACTGCAAAGACTAAATTTAAGCATGAATTAAAGTGGAATTACTTTAAACTTGAGAAAAGAAGGGGCTGTTCAAAATATTTACTAATGACTATTCTGAATATACAGGATGTTTCTGAGAATATAAAATACAAAAAAATGAAAAAAATAATATTTATAATGAAGCAATAAATTCCACACAGAACTAAAAATCTTAACTGCAATTTACTGAGCATATTTGTTCTGACACAAATAAATAATGAACATTAAACAATGAAGAATAAAAATGTTAACGAAGTAATGAATTATTGTGGTATTATCTCACACAAAATGTACAATTCACCATTCAAAACGATTACTCTTCCATGCATGCCAATAATTAACCAGTGTCCGTGCTCATTTCACTGACACTGTTCTTTATCACTCTTGGAGATCAGGCAAATCTGGGGAGAAAAGTCAAATCTTACAATCAATTTTTACATATACCGAATGTCTTCTTCTCTGCATTCACTGCCTGTAGACAGTTGAAAAATTCTGGTTGTTCACCCACCTCTGGACTTTAGACCGGTTCCAGCCGAGTGCCGTGCGAACATCTGTTTTACAGATGCGACTTCTTTGTATACAGACTGTTGGTTCCTTGCCTATCTGGTAAATGCATTCGGACTTTAAAGAAAGCCCTCAATTAGTCGACTCTTAAGACATGCCTTTTGGGAAGGTAATGGGTTCCCAAAACCCATATAAGGATGTTTTGAATTTAAATTAACTAAATTGAGATTTTAGAAAGTCCTGTTGTGGCATACAGCTAAGGTGCGCTATCTTTTAGTCCAACATATCGGACTTCAGCAAACTCCCAATTAGTCGCCTTTTACAATTTGCTGAGATAAGAGTGTTCAAAGTGGGAGAAGAAAACAACTACATAAATGTTAAAGCCTGATCTGGGCTCCCAGGCCTTTCCAGACTAGAATTGGTGCTAGAAAATGCCATGGGAAGTAAAGCTGGTCAGCATGATGTTATCACATCACAGAGTATAGACTGGTATATTATTAATATGGGGCTAGAACTTTCATACTTGAGGCTCCTCAAGGCTTGAAACGGAGTCTTTAGCTGATTTGGCTCTAAATAATCTTGGTATCTCGGGTGAAAATTGATGGCAAAAAAATAACATTTATTCAGGTGGAGGATTTATTGATAAGGATGAACGTTTTTCTCACCTTATAAATTACTATTTGGCTGAACTGTTTCATATAATGAAAGAAACTAAATATTTTTTTAGTAACATAGCCAACTATTTTTTCAAGGATCACCTGTGATTTAAATTAATATTTTTAAAAACAATATCAAATCAGGCTGATGTTAAATGCAGCACTTACCTTCATCATCACTATCTTCTTCTTGATCCTGTTGAATAAAACAACACATAGGTAATTAATTAGTAGACTGCACTGTTATAATCACTACAAAACAGCACCCCTGTCACATGTCTCATATAAATTACCAGTTAAGGCTTAGATAATTACATGGGGTGGTATCTTATTAGGTTAAAAAGACATTTACTGGCAAAGAATAAATTTTTTTTTGTACAAAATGTCTAGTCTAGATGCTTAACCCTTCACCTCAGTACACCCCCCCCCCCCCCAAACACAGGTCCATGACACCGTGGTAATTCTGAAAAATCTTTCAAAACAAGGTCACTAATAAATATTTGTAAAATGCATGCATACTTTATTCTTTAAAAACAAAAATACACATATATAGAGGAACCAAAAAATTAACATGGGCAACTCATGCCATGCTGACATGACCTTTATCACTGAGACTTACAGGGAAACTTGACAGCACCAGTGCTTTAAAAAAAAGTTTTAAGGAAAACTCCCCAAAATTGTATTTCTAGTTAATAATTCGCATCCTAATGCCACTAACATTTATGCATGAACAAAGCCACCAGCATTACCTGTATGTCTCAGTCACAAACAGATCGCCACAGACAAATTTAAAAAGTGAATCCACAGAGAATGGGTCCCAATCAAAATGGTTTTGCAGTTTCTCAGATAACAGAGTTAAGAACCAAACATACTTAGAGACACTACCCTATACCCCCCCCCCCCCCCATACACTAAACAAATATTTTTTTTAGAAGGAAAAAAACGTGAAATTTTTCAAAGATTAAAAGCAAAAATTAATAACCCCAAGGCAATGTATGACAAAATTTCTATACTGTTGGAAATGATATAGATGTTACATGTTTACGTATAAATAAATGTATGAATAAGAGAGATATCATCTTCATTCCGAGCTCTTGTTGAGGCTCACTGAGGCAGACACCACTTATCTCTGTGACTGGCCTTTTCTTTGGCAACCCCAATTCACTACTATTCACTGTACCGTACCGTTGTGGGTGCCAAGTGTCAGCAGCACGGGGGCCAATAACAACATACAAACCATCTTTCATACGCATATATTCAATAGTGTATCAAATACTAGTAACACTGAAATGATATATATAACGAATGCAAAATACTTACATCTAAATCAGGAACACCTCCTGCTCCTTGCAAACCTCCCATTGACGACATCATCTGGAAAGCAAAGTACAATATTTATGTTCAGCAATGTCCACACAATGTTCTTAATTCACTGTCGAAATTATAAACATTGCTGATGGTTAGTTTTCATGATTTCATTCGACAGCTATCACTGTGTTAAATGTATTTATTTCTTAATTCTGGGCTAAAAAAAATTGAGTTTGTCACTCGGAAAAATATGGTAATACTTTTTAATCGCATGAACCACAAACAAAAACATTTTTGTAAAACTGTTAAAAAAATTTCGCCCAATTATTCAATCAACTTCAGCGAATCATAAATGGGTTTTAGGAGAAACAAAATCTGTACAGTGCCATCTTTACACAGTGGCAGGTAGCAAATGCATAAAACATACAATGAGGCGCGCTATATCTTGCATACAGTAAAGTAAAGGTCCCTTTCCGCGTATTGGCAATATAGGGCTAGGCTTATATTTTTAAAGACCAATCGGCACTTAGTGGGTGATGTGGTCAGCATCTTGCGTACAGACCAAGGACAAAGTACATGATGGAGTAAACCGTCTACTGTAGAAAACAATAAGGACCTAGGGAGTCAGCCAGCATCTAGTAAACATAAATATTACAATAGCCAAGGTGTAGTAAGAACAAATGCCTAAATGACAGAAATGTTCTTTATACAACCCGGAGGCTGCCAGGGATGTATTCTAACCCCCCCCCCCCCCCCCCCCCCCCCCCCCCCCCCCCCCCCCCCACCCCCCCCCCCCCCCCCTACCTTTTCTGCTATTTATCAAATCAGTACAGCATCCCAAATTCACGAGGAGAGTTAAAGTTTAATTAACTCCATTTTTGCCGACGACAAAGTCCTCATGGCAGCTACAAACACCTGAATAATCTTAACACTGCAGCAAAAGCAAAAAACGTAAAAATAAACTGTTAAAAAACAAATTATAATTTCCAAGAACAGAAGTATCAATCAAAATATGCATTGATCGGCTGTGCACCATCAGAAGGCACACACAATATGTTATTTGATGTCTATTTATGGAAATTAAGGTCAGCAGCAAGCGCAGAAACTAAACTGGCACATACAAAAACAACCTAGTAAGGATTTAGAATAACAATCTGCATGAATAAGACCATGAAAGAGGGAAATGTTTTAATAAAAGAAAATATATACAAAGGCCACTAGCAACTAATGATTCTGAACCTGTTACAAAATTGACCAAACTTAACCAACAACTTTACAACAACAACCAGACAAAACAATTATCCATCATACTAAGATTATATGCAAATAAAACATCAGCAGAATTAACAATACATCCAGAGTTGAGTTAAAAACCAACATCACAGCACTCTGGGAATTCCCATAAGCACAAAGTCCTAATCATCCAATTCAGATGGTACCGGCAGCACTCTTCCTTCCTTCCTCGCGTTCACCAGCTGTACACTCTGGCGGAAGGTTCTGGTTGCTCGTCCACTACTGAACTGCAGTCCTGTTCCAGAACCTGAGTGTTGCGTGTGCATCAGTTTTACAGATCTCATTCTCTTGAATACAGACTGTCGGTTCCTTGCCTCTCCGGCAGATGCACTCCGACTTCAAAGGAAGCTCCCCAATTAGTCGACTCTTACGACATGCTTTTGGGAAGGCAGTGAGTCTATTCTTGTTTTCCCCACAATGGGGCCCCGGAACCCACACGGGGACGGCAGCACTCTGATATGTCCATCTTGTCTTTTCACTGAATAATGAGTATCAACCGTAAACCCTGGTCACTCCCTGCCACACCACATTATTCATTAAATCAGAAACTGGTACAAACATTAAATGCAGCATACACCGAACAAAGACCATTAAGACAAGTGTACACCTAGGCCCAGATGACAGACTAACCTCATCTAGATTAAAATCTTCATTGTTTTCTGCGTCAGAGTCATCCTCATCCTTCCATCTGTTGAAGTCAGTCTTTAGGTAATGTACCTGGTAGACACCATAAGAGACATAAATTCCTAAGTGTTGACTGGTATTAAAAGAAGTAGATGTAATTAAAAACACACTAGACAACATGAAAATGTCAAGCTTTAGTGAGCTGTACCTGCTGCCGGCCAAAAGACAGAACCTTTGTGGTAAGAAACATGATGTACAGAGGATTTTGAAGTGAAATTCTCTGACAAAGAATTCCATTCTCACTGTCCAAGGTTCTGTGATGAAAATAACATTATAGCATGGCTACCCGAGAATGCTCTGGCAATAAATATGTAATAAAATGATTTGATCAATTAAATGTGTTAGGAAAACAAGCAGTTCTTTTTTTAAATGTTTCTCTAAACTTGATGTTTCATTTAGTTAGTTAGCTGACAGATTATCCTCATTGTACGTCGAACCACTCAGTCCATAAGTGCTCTGATCCCCTCCTTAGTAAATCCTGCAGCGTGTAGCGCCTAACGACACCAGTTCTGTGTTGGCTTATTCTTCTTCTTTGACTATCTGTGTAGTGTTCTCGTTTGGAGAAACTCCGTTTAACATGTTCTTGCAGTCTGACCATGGCTGCAGATTCACAGTTCTCAGTTGGTTCACGCAAACGTAACTCTCTTTAGAGCATTCAGTATGCCGTTTCATTTACAAGACATAAAAGCAGAATTACAATTCATGCCAATATATAAAGCACAAAATACACATTAATGTGGAAATAAAAAGACAGAAGAAACAGGACGCAAACGAGAAACCCTATGATGAATGTTAAATAAGAGAGGCCAGGACAGCTAGATTGAATCTCATCCACAATACTGAAAAGATTGGTCAGGATAGCAAGGTGATATAAACTGCACAAAAGGGAGATGATGCACTTTAATTTACACACAAAAAAGACGATTTTAGAAAGGATTACAGCAAATCAAGAATAGCATACAAATTAATTTATACATTTTCTTTTACATCAATACGTGTGCAGTATTTTTATTATTTGTATTGTGATTGTTTTAAGCTGAGCTGACAAATTTGCATCTTTAGTGAGGTCTCCCTAGGTCAATACAATCCATCAAGACAACAAAGCTTCTGGGTCAAATGCTTTGTCATACTATATAAAAAGAGAAAATGCATACTTTTTTACAATCCTTTAACAAGCGAGGCCAAAACCCTCGTGATGATTCTTTCTTCGTGAGGACAAAAAACACTTCCCTCTCTGTGACCTGGAATTTTGAGGTCTGAAAGACGGCAAATTACAACAGTATATCATCAAATATATGCACATGAACAGTTTTCACAAGTGTATACTATATTTAAAGCTATTTTTGCATTCTTTTCCAGATACCTGATCCAAACTAATATTCTTCAATCTGTAAAATTCTTTTGCTTGGGTAATTATAAAGAACTCGTTTAAAATATGTTCCATCTATTCAGACTTTACCAAAACCAAAGTCTTTACTACTTCTTTTAAAGCTTCTGCTTCAGCACTTATGGCAAAATATGCCTGCTGCTGTAGCATTGATATTAATTTAATTTGAAGCGTCAAGTGCAGACAGATTTCTACAATAACACACACAAAAACTTACTAGGCATATTGTCTTTCAAGATGAAACAGACAAAAAAAAATGATCTGGCTCCATAAAGAATCTTTTTGTTCACCAGCTGTAAACTGGCTGAAAGTTCTGGTCGTTCATCCACTTCTATACTGCAATCCTGTTCCAGAACATAAGTGCTGCATGCACATCCGTTTTACTGGTGTGATTCATCAGTAATCAGACTGTTGGTTCCTTGCCTCTCAGGCAGATGCACTCAGACTTAGAAGGAAGCTCCCAATTACTTGACTCTTACAACACTTTTGGGTAGGCACCCATATGCAGACTGGTCGGCTCTCAAGGAAATGCAGAGGCAAGAACACGGACATTGCCTGTTTTACATGTAAACAATGGTGATCGTTTGCACCAACAAAATGTATATGCATCAATACAATTTAACAACTTCATCAAGTAAAAAACCGCTATGCTTACATCAGAGTCTATTTCCTTGTTAAACTCTATCAGTACTTCATGTTCTGTGTTTCCTGGACCACCTTTGCCACGGAAATGCAGACTATCATCCTTGAGTGTGATGGTAGGATTTTTACAATTTTCTAACTGGATAGTTAGAAAAATTTTGTCTTTCCCCTGTGCCCACATAACTGGTGGAGGCGGCAAATGTCTGAAATGGCACAAAATGTATACAAGTCAAAATACACTGCAACTTTTATCCATAAATTACATGTGCATTAACTGCTTTTGAAAGACTTAACTTTTATCTGATTGTAGAAACCACTAGAGCATTTAGAGTTTACAGCTGGTGAATCCGTAGAACTACACTCCGATAAAATAATACTAATACAGTCTTTAACTAAGCAACATTACACTTGTAAAACTGAATTATCATGATGCCTGGGTGATCTATAGGTAATGTGTGCTTATAACTTAAACACTGTGTTGTTCTATCCAAAATGACAGCTCCCTATTTTGGTTTTTGTGTGTACGTTTTTTTGTTTTGCTTATTCAATAATCAACAAGGGCTAGGATCCCTCTCGTCCCTGCGTCTTTTTAAAAAAATAGCTTTTACACCCATTTCTGGCTCCACAGTATGGATTATTATATAAAATATATGAACGTTGTGGTGTAGCGGTTAGCCTGTGGATTTAAGGTCGCAAATTAGAATTCAAAACGAATCTGGGGTCTCCCCCCCCCCCCCACAAATGACCCAGCCTTAAACAGGTACAGAGTTAAGTAATGGAAAGCAAAGGCGGATAGCGTGATGTTGATCACACAATACAGGCAATATAGATCTCGCACTATAGCCCTAAAGGTGCGAAAAAGTGCCCTATGATTGTTTTTCACTTATATATGTATATGATATGATATGTATGTATGTATAAAGAGAGTTCGGATATCTTCCGAATAACGGTCCCAAATTATCGAGGCAGAAAATATACTGAATAAACAGAAAATATGGTTCTCCTTTAAATTACGGCCTGTTAGAGTGGAAAAGGCACGAATCACAAAACAAAGTGAGGTCAAAATTATCAGATATAGTGGCGGTCATTAGGGTAAGTACTCGACGTTACATGTGTTACCCTAACCCTACCCCAAACCCTAGCCGTATGATGACAACAGGGCACTGCACGCTGTCTATCGCCAACACACTGTAATTAGGCTCTCCTGTAAACTACGGCCGGTAGATAACAGTAGACGGCCGGTTAGTCGGAGTTCTGTCCCTTGGCGACAGTGCAATTACAGAGTGGAAAAGGCACGAATCACAACACAAAGTGACTTCGACATGGCTTGCAGGCCCCGCACCGCGACTCAAATTAGCGACCGCGTTCAATTACCGCTTCTTGCAATGCATTACGGAGTGGAATATAGGGAACGAAACAAGTGACATAATTACTGTGTGTTGGCGATAGACAGCGTGCAGTGCCCTACTGTCATCATACGGTTAGGGTTTGGATTAGGGTGTGGGTAAGGGTTAGGGTTTGGTGTAGGGTTAGGGTTCCTACTATGAGTTTGTGCGAAGACGAGATGCGGCGACACTAACCGTAACCCTAACCCACACCCTAACCCTATGATTATAGCAGGGCAGTGCACGTTCTCTATCGCCAACACACAAAAATTGTGTCAATTGTTTCGTTCCCTCCTTTTCCACTCCGTAATTGCACTGTAGCCAAGGGACAGAACTCCGACTAACCGGCCGTCTACTGTTGTCTACCGGCCGTAGTTGACAGGAGAGCCAGTAATTTTGTCATTTGTTTCGTTCCTTCTTTTCCACTCCGTAATTGCACTGCAGCCAAGGGACTGAACTCTGACTAACCGGTCGTAGTTTAGTAGTTTAAAGAAGAGCTGAAAATATACCCTAACAGGGCCTTAGTCACGTGTCAATTGCGCACTTCCAGCGTCTTGAATTGTGCGCTTCCGCCACCGCATCCCCCACGCGGCGTGGATTGGGGCTAAACTAGATGGCTGGGACTCACGAGCAGCAGCTACCACATTTCCTGTAGCTGCCTTGATTTTATTTGCTCGTGAGTCCCAGGATACTCTCGGCGGTGGCGGTATAGTCCCCGGAAGTTTGCAACTGACACGTGATTGAGGCCCTGTTAGGGTAAATTTTCTTGCCTCGATAATTTGGGACCATTATTCGGTAGATAGCCGAGAGTTGATTTGAAACCTATTCATGTTGCGCATGTAATTGAGTGCTATGAACATTATCATGTCATATAATGGTCACTAAGTACTGACCAATGAATAAAAGCATATGCTTCAAGTCTGATGATGGCACCAGTAAGTCTTGACTGATTGTATATATTCATCTATAGTTTCCCTTGAGTGCTGATGTTTCTTTCATGCTTTTTTACTTCTTTATAATGTTATTGCCACACTGACACAAATATATATATATATATTCATTCATTCAGTAGCATGTCCCTCGCGGAACCTCGCTGCCATAACAACCCTCCGGAAAACCTTCCTATCATGAGCAAGATGTCCTGCGTCTGATACACCCATCTGGAGATCATCTGCCACATCCTGCACCCATCTTCTCCTTGGCCTTCCTCTCTTCCCAGGCATGTACCCCTCCATTATTGTTCTCTCTAGACTTCCATGACGTTTCAAGTGACCAAAATATTTCAAATTTCTTTTTGTTTTATTGTCTTTACTAGCCAACCTTCTTCAATATTCAGCTCTTGAAGTATGGATGCATTTGTTCTTTTCTTTACCCAAGATATTCTTAGAACCTGTCTGTAACATTTATATTCAAATGCATTTATGCGCTGTTCCGCTTGTTTAGTAAGTATATTATATATAAACAATCTCTTAATATAAAATATTTATACGTAGTTCAAAATGCTTTTTAAACTAAACGCATAATCATGGCAAATGGGGAAGACGACTTGACTGTTCATTGCAAAAAGAAGAAAGCCCATGAGGTGAATTCTGATTCACTCAACTCAGTGATATCAAGTTGTCTCATGCTCATCGTGGTGACATCGGCCGTAGCGCAGATTATCTGAGATAGCAACTATATCAGTTTGACTTGGCGGAGAAACAACACTGTGGAAACTAAATGTATTCCAATAACCTATAACAAATATAAAGAGAAGATACTCACGAAGCATTACTAGAAGAATTCATTGTAAAACGGCGAAGATAAAAGAAATGAAGTCGACACGCTGAAACGGAAAAGTCGAATTGTTCGCAACACGCCGCAAACAAACGCAACTGCGCATGCCGGTCAAAATGTAGAACAGGCAATGGAGAATTCCAGAAACTTGACGACTATAGAGGGGAATGTTCCTTATTTATTAATATCTTGACTGTAATGAAAGAATTATATAAATATCGGGCTATGCTCAATAAAATTTGCTTGTTTTTCTATATATATTTGTAGACGGTCTACCCATTTTTTATGAAAAAGAGCGTTTCGTGTTATAAATCATGTTTTTGTGCGTTTAGACAAGAAAGAGAATTCTTAAAAGCTAAATAAATCCTATCTTGATATACGGAGGTGAATCATGGACAATTGGTGAATGAGTGAAAACTCATTTGGAAGCTATGGATATATGGTTTTATATACAAATGATGAGAATACACTGGACAGATAAAAAGAGTAATGAAGACGTATTGAAAGAAACTGAGTCAGAAGATAACCGATTGGCCACATCAGAAAAAGACAATCTACATTCTTTGGTCATGTCATGAGAAGGATAAAACTGGACTGCATCGTGACAGCTAGAGGGTGAGGACAGGCAGAGAGAGAGAGAGAGAGAGAGAGAGAGAGAGAGAACAGATGCTGGACAGTTTGACATCATGACGTGGAAGATCATCTGTACAGAGTTGATTGAAAGTATACGATACTGAAGGATGTGGATAGACTTGACTACCAACGCCACACGGCATGGACTTTAAGAAGAAGACAAGAATGAGTTATGACCAGTTCTGAGATCTGGTACGCTAGGTGGTAAGTTGGGAGGGCTTCCACAGCACTCTGTGACGAAGGAGTCAAGTGATTTACCTCGCGTTTTGAAGGTAGTGGGTTCATTTCATGGACATTGTCGTTCGATTCAGGGGTGCTAATTTTTTCTAATGTTCCTGGGGATCACCACATGAAGCTACGGAATTCGCGCTTTATGTCACGCTGTTGACAGACACCTGTTCTGCAGAGAGCACCCAAGCCGCATGGAATATAACCCAGATCATCTCGACTCAATTCTAATTGCACTCCACACTAGTACCGTCTAAAGGCAAGGGTCCGCTTGACACTTGCGCGGGGCCCCACGAGCATAGGAATCCCATGCTAATCTGTGTAGGTCAGATAAAGTAAAAATGACCCTTGTCCACACCTTCAGACTTGTTGAGCGTATAGGGCTAGACCAGTCAGCACTCGGTTGGTGAATGTTGTTACACCGACTGAAAAAATCAATTTTGGGTGGCGCAAGCTGAAGACACTATTGGACATGCGTGCAGGCTTGTTAAGTTTAGGCGAGGAGATGAGTGAGTCAAAGTGTCCGATCAGGTTCAGACTTGTGTAGAGTTCGAATCACTTCGGGACATGAGTGCAGGGACTGGCCAGCTGGTGCTGCAGAATCAGAAGCTATTCGTTTTCTTCTTCTTTGCGTTCACCAGCTGTAAACTCTGGCGGAAAGTTATGGTTGTTCATCCACTTCTGGATTGCAGTCCTGTTCCAGAACCTGAGTGTTGCGTGTGCACCCGTTTTACAGATCTGACTCATTTGTATGCAGATTGCTGGTTCCTTGCCTCTCAGGCAGATGTACTCCGACTTCGAAGGGAGCTCCCAATTAGTCCCCGGAAATCAGAAGTTTAACAAATGTTTTTTTTTAATTTTTTTTTTACGTATCCAGAAACCATGAGTTGTAAACCCTTTGGCTCGGTACTATAGATATCGCAACCCTTCGGCATTGATTCCATTATAGGTACCGTTAATCTGCAAGAAATGTGGCTTTTCTGCCTACCTCTGGGAGTGAACCCGGACCACAAGGAGTTCGTCACCCGGCCGCAGCGAAAGTCAGGTTTAACCAACTTCGCTAGAGATTTGTTCATGAAAATTCCCACCCAGATGATGTGATTGTCTATACAGATTGTTCTGTGTTGAGGGGCAGACGAAGTGCATATGAGGTTCATAGCGAAGGCGAATGGATGTCACTTGGTGCAACAAAGCCTGGCATATGATATCACAACGTCTAGTTTGAGAATGGAGGTGGAGACAGTCACTGCTGCCTTGCGCTGGCTTGAGAATCAGCTGTACACACACGCCGTCATTGTGACTGATTCACAGAGCATGGTGGAGACAGGCACGCTCCGTGCAGAGTGGCAAGCATCACTTCATAGGTCCCGCGTAGTTAGCATCATTTGGAAATTTATCAAGGTCATGCCGGTGTGTTGGGAAATGAGCAGGCAGATAGACTAGCCAGTTCTGCACCACCTGGTGGTGAACTGATGTATAATAGGCTGGATGTTGTGAGGACCCTTTGGGAACGAGTGAACAGTGCTGTGGCACAGATAGATCATTACGGTCTGAGGAGAATGGCACTGCGAGGAGTTACCATGGGATCTGACTGACGCTGGACACTCATGGGAGAGGCGAGACGGATATACAATCAGACTGATACTATAGGAATTTGAACTCTTCGCTTGCTGCTGAATATGGGGACGGAACGCTTATGGGGATGCCTGAGTGCTGTGATGTCGATTCCTAATTCAAAAATCAACAATAAAATCACTTAAATGAAGTATTTATGAGAGAAATAACACATCTGTATAGTTGTGACGGAATATGATTGCCTGCGATGACACTTTCTCTCCCCCTCCCCTCTTCATCTATCTATCTATCTATCTATCTATCTATCTATCTATCTATCTATCTATCTATCTATCTATCTATCTATCTATCTATCTATCTATCTATCCATCCATCCATCCATCCATCCATCCATCCATCCATCCATCCATCCATCCATCCATCCATCCATCCATCCATCCATCCATCCATCCATCCATCCATCCATCCATCCATCCATCTATCTATCTATCTATCTATCTATCTATCTATCTATCTATCTATCTATCTATCTATCTATCTATCTATCTATCTATCTATCTATCTATCTATCTATCTATCTATCTATCTATCTATCTGTCCATCCATCGATTCATCCATCCACCCGTCCGTCTGTCTGTCTGTCTGTCTGCCTGTCCGTCCGTCCGCCTTTCTGTCTAATTATCAATCAATAAATCGAATCTCTTTCTATCTTTGAATCATTAGATGTAAGAAACAATTACTTAAACTACAGATCTTTCCCGTGACAATGTATGGGTGCAAATCATGACCTTTGCCACGTTACTGATGCAGCGAGCTTACAATGCTAGATCCCTTGACATGCAATGCAGGGGGAAATCGAGACATGAATGTTACAGATAATGCTCAGAATACTTCGTGTGAAGAGATGAAGGAGGATGGGTAGGTCAACGTAGACTACAATCTCTAAGGTAGAAGAACACATAAATCAGAATTAATTATTAGCAAAATAGTGTATAAGAAATTCAAATTGTTTGGCCACAAGAGTAGTTCAGAAACAACAGTACAGGAGAGCGCGCTTCCTGAAAGATGAAACAAGAGCTAATCAAAACATCAGTGGATGTTGAAAGATACACTTAACAAGATAAAAAGAGTAATGAGGATGTGTTGAAAGAAACTGACCCATAAAGAGAACGTATTGCCCACATCAAAAGGAGGCTCCCTGTGTGGGTTCCGGGGCCCTATTATAGGGAAAACAAGAATAGACCCACTGCCTACCCAAAAGCATGTCGTAAGAGTCAACTAATTGGGAGCTTCCTTCGAAGTCGGAGTGCATCTGCATGAGAGGCAAGGAACCAGCAGTCTGCATACAAATGAGTCAGATCTGTAAAATGGATGCACACGCAACACTTAGGTTCTGGAACAGGACTGCAGTCCAAAAGTGGATGAACAACCAAAACTTTTCGCCAGAGTAAACGCGAAGAAGAAGAAGAAAAAGGAGGCAAATATATATTCGCTCGCCGTGTCATTGGTGGGAGAAAACGAGTACATCGTGATGGTGGGACAGTTAGAGGGGTAAAGTGGCAGAGACAGACCGAGACAGATGATCTCATGACATGGAAGATCATTTGTCAGAACTGAATGAAGAACAAATGGGACAGAAGGTTGTGGATAGACATGACAACTAATGTCACACACCATCGACTGTGAAGAAAAAAAAAAACAGCTATGAAGAATCGAGTCTATTAGACGAGTGTTGATGCTAGCAAGACTTTCCACCATCAAGTGCAGTGCTACCGGTATGTGTTGTGCGGCCCCATCGCAGGAAACACAAGAATGGTCTAACTGCTTCCCTAACAAGCATGTCGTAAGAGTAGACTAACTGGAAGCTTCCTTCGAAGTCAGAGGGCCTCTGCCTGGGCGTCAAGGAACAATCAACTGCACACAAATAAACCAATAAAACGGATGTTCATGCAAAATCAGGCCCTAGCACAAAGCCAAAAGTTCAAATGAACAGACAACCAGGACTTTCTGTCGGAGCTTAAAAGAGGAAGAGAGAAATACGGTGAAGGCTGGCGTCGTCAAACATGCTTCTGCATATTTCACTATGTTCAAAATACGTATCATATCACTTGCCAATGTCTTTCCACACAATACTAAATGGTTGTCAAGAATATTCTCTCTCTAAATTCTATAGCCTTAGAGCCAAGTTAGAAGTCTCCAGTTCTAATATTTTAGTTTTAACAAATGCCAGTGAACGTCGAAGAATCCAAGAGATACGGAGAGACAGTTAAATGCATTCGAAAACATATGCCTGAGGAAAATGATAAACATAAAATGGGATGAAAATGAGAAGTAAAAAAATAAGAGTTATTCTAGATAACCACTAGTATCAACAATAAAAAAACATAAGATGGCGCTATAATAAACACATTTTGAGAAGAAACTAACAGAAAATCCACAAAGAGGCACTCAAGGTATTTGGATAATAATCCATGTTTTGACATGACACGTGTTCTTGATTTTCAGATTTTTGATATCTTTCCTCACAATTGTGAGCAGAAAGTCATTAATTTCCTGGATCTGCTACTGGCATAAT